AAGTAGACGGAGCTGCTCATACAATGAAAATCAGGCTGGAGGTCTGAACCCACGGAACGAAACTGAGGTTTTTACCACTCTGGTGTTCTTCAGGGGAGGAAAATGCACCCGTTGGAGATGTGCTGATCGACCCGAATCACCGCCCACCCAATAGGATTATTTTCTCCCTTTTCTGAGACCCGCATGGTAATCGCTTCTGTTCCCGGAGGGACGACACTATCACTGAAGCATAGGCTTGTTTTGAATGAATCGACATGTAATAAATAAAGCATTTCAATACCGCCAGGCGCTACTTGATGAGTAGGGTAATGACACGTGGGATCGGGGTTCACGTAATAAAAAAAAACACGTATAAATATTTAATACGGTTGCAGTGTTGCAATACGGACTCCGGTGTGCCAACATATTCAAATCGTGCATTTGTATAACAACGAAAACGCTGCAGGATTCTTCCCTCGAGCGGCGCGTGATCATCACGCCGATGTGTTCTCGCGGAGGCCGTCCTCATCCACACATCCTGAGGCGGGCGGTCCCGGGGGGCCGGCGTCAATCAAACGTGGACACGCCCCTAACGTCAATGGGAGGAAAAATTAGCATTTCTATTTCTAAACATGAATTCACAGCATATTAGTTTTGTCCACGGCTCAATACCCTGTTAGCACCAGCTAAGCTAGTAATTCTAATCTTTACATGCTGTTAGTCCGTCTCATACACCAAAGATCTTGACAAATTCAAATTTTGACCCAATTACGGTGTCGGAGAAAAGGCCTGTAAGAAGCCATCAAGTGGACATTACTGTCTGTACCAAGTCTCGGGATAATGCACGTGTCATTAGTTGTCGAGACATTTCACCCCGAACCACAAACGTCTGAGGAGAAGTCAGAGGATCACCAAAGTCATTCAGATTAATCGCCTGGAAACCGTTTATGTCTGCACCAATTTTTCTGCTAATTTAAGCGGAAAAATGTTGAGATATTTCACTCAGCACGTCAAGAAGCATTCAGGGAATCACCAGTGTGTCTAATGGGGTTAAGAAATGTCAGCGTGGACCAAAAGTGCTGCTGTCACTTGCTGGCGTCCTTCCATCTGCAGCGATAATCAAGCCGTTGTTCTGAGCACTAATCCCCCTCACGGGACACCCGCACTCCGACGACCCGTCCCCCGTCCCTCCTGAGTACACATATAGTTTCTTCGTCTTTTGTAGGATTGCCGTCCTCCTCCTGCCACCCCGGTTGCTCGATATCACCATGAAAGCCTCCCCGGGTGGGTGTGGGGGGGGTGAGTCTCAGGCGCTAACACACAACAACAGTTAAACGTGCAACGCGTGGCCCGCGGGGGGAAATCCGGTAAACTCGAGGGGGCGAGGACAGGAACGCCGCAGCATGTGACGGCAACACCGTGGGCTTCAATGACCACGACGGGGACAGCCAGTCCCGTCTGCCCCCCCCCCAACAAAGCCAACCGATGACGCCGAAGCACGTTCCATCGTGGTTCTCATCTGGGTGGTTTCACATGAGTGGAAATCAGAGGATGATCAGAGATGTGAATCTCTTCGAGCGGGAGATTCTTTTTTTAGCTGATTCTTTATTTTCTAAAGTTTTTGCTGCCTCTTCGCAAGGAACTAGTTTGAGTTTCGGACGTTTTGTAATCGTGTTTCTTCAGCGCTTTTGTCCTCGAAATCCCGCTGACTCTCTGAGAACATTTTAGCAGATTACTTTAAACAACATTAACAGATAATTGAGTTGCTTTGTACAGCGTGTTTCTCCTTTCCTATCATTTCCAACAGGACTCCTCCAGCAAACCGCTGTGACAATGCTGGATATCAGGACCCGTCGGAGGAGTGAGGGGGGGTAAAAATAGAAACTGTCATCACTGGTTACTGTGAATGTCCACCCCACAGAACAGACAAACCTGCTCCTCTCCTCTCTCCATCCACACAGGGATGCATTTCTGAATAAGTACCTCGCCTGCCCACCACTGATATTGATTTTCTAAACCTTCAATGAACTAAGCGTCTCAACTGCTCCGCGAGGGAGGCTGTTAGCAGCTCAGGCTCCCGCCCTTTTTGTGGGACGGGAAATCAGCCTTGATTTGCTGGCGGCGGGACATTTTATTTTTTATTTGTCACTTCACTCTGGGCTGACTCATGCAATCAAACAAGAATCAACACGCTGCAGCTCTGGGAAAAGCATCTGTCCCCATATATACAGTATATATATATATATATATATATATATATATATATATATTGTACTCTATTCAGGCACGGTAAATTGAAGACAAGATGGCTATACAGCTTCCTCTTGAACTGTCTAGGGATGAACTGGATTAAATATTGCTGTTATTCACCATTAGACAATGAAAATGTGTTTTAATGACCACCATCTGTCACACGGCAGTAAACAGCACTAAAAGGTACTTCTGCTGTACGTCTCTCCCCCCGGGAGTGGAGAGAGACAGAGAGACGGAGACATAGAGAGAGAGAGACGGAGACATAGAGACATAGAGAGAGAGAGACGGAGACATAGAGAGAGAGAGACGGAGACATAGAGACATAGAGAGAGAGAGACTGCGGTATCGGAGGAAGTGAACGTGTAAACTGGACCCAACCGCTCGCCGAAAACATCATTAATGTTAACTTCGAAAGACCATTTTTCAGCATTCCTGTGATTCCTCCTGTGCAGGTGATGAAAGTATTGCGTCAGTGTGTCGAGCAGACAGAAGGCAACATGAGACACTTGTTTGAGGTGATGCCGAAAATTGTAAAAGTGGTGTTCTGATCCGCAGCGCGTTATTTACCTGGATGCTAACATTATTATTTAGTTTGAGCAGTCGGAGAAACGTTGGCTTAAAATATTCACTGCGAAACATCAAAATAAATGTTCTCTTCTCCACAGAGAGTTACGGATGAATCCAAGGTCCCCCTTCAAAATAAAACCGTGCATGTAACAGGCATGTTTATACATATATCAGTTAATAAGAGAGTTGCCTCTTTATAAATGTGTTTTGAGGAAATTTTCCAAAAAAATGTCTCTGTAGCTGTAGTTCACCTATAAAGAAAAAAGATCCGGTTTTCAGCAGAAGGAAGTTTCAAAGTAAGAAAGCGTTATTGGCACTGTGGGTGAACAAAGGGATCAATATTGAGGGAGTTTGTACTGTATTCAATACAAGCACGGTGTCATGACATTAAGAAGACCCCTCCCGCCGCGAGGGGGGGGGCAGGTTGAATAATGTAAGCTGATCAAAATTTCATTAATCTCTTGCATCATTAAAAAGGGTAAAGTAAATAAAACATGTCGGTGAGCGACGCTGAGAGCATTCGGAAAACAAAAAGCTACGTGCTGTCATGGAGGAGGGGGGGGGCGGGGGGGTCTAGTCCTTAGATCAGGAAGTCGGGTGGACTGGAAAACAGTATCCTCTTTTAAAATATAGATTTTATTTTCTGCCGGGGAGGAAACGTGACCCCCCCCCCCTGCAGGTGCTGAGCACTGGAGGCTGACAGGCATCATCCCGGAGCCTCGATGGGGGGCGATAATGATACCTGGGGAAGGGGGTGGGGGGGGGGGCATCCTGCGTATGCTAATCACTAGCTACCTCTCCCCTTTGTCGTCCCAGGTTTGCGCGGCTCGCTCGCCCTCTTTCATCGCCGCGCCGGCGGGAATGAAAGGCGATGCAAATACGGCCGGCTTTTAGGAGTCGGGCGGATAAAGGAGGGAGGCCTTCAAACCGAGGCGCCTCATCCGCTTCAGTTCAGACCTGACCGAGGCGTGCAAATTATACCTGAGACGTACGGAGGGGGGGGCGGGGGGACGCCGCGAGCTGCACCGGCACAAAGCTGGGGCTGGAGATAGGCAAATCTCTCCTGGGGGGGGGGTTAATTGGCAGAAAACATCCAGGCAAAGGTTTAGAAAGAGCCTTTCTTCCTGGTGTCCCACCAGAAAGAAGCACACTTATTTGTGCCCTGTGCGAGTGTTGACCGTGAAACGCTTCCACAGCGTTCCAGTCCCTGATTTTTGTTATTTTTTTGGGTGGGGAGGTGTGGGTGTGGTTGGGGGGGCGCGCTTCCAGGCGAGGAAACGCTTTACTGCTGACCCAAGAACAAGGTGCGATTCAGCACTGCTTTGGAACCATTCGACGCGGTGCAGCGGTGCAGCGGTGCAGCGTTTAACCCTTGCAGGAGCTTCCGGTAGCCGCGGGAGCCTTTTTCTGCGTTGCCGGATGCAGAATTGCACGTTTGCCGCCGCGAGGGAGAAAAAACGTTGAGTAAAAAAGGGAGAAAAAACTACAAAGAGTGGAAGTAAACAAAGGCCGGATCGCACACAGCCACAGAGGACGGGGGGGGGGGGGGCGTGGAGACAGCAGCCCATCTTCACGCGTATTGAACCCTAAAACGTCTTTGTATTCACAGCCGTTTTTAACAAGTAGAGACAAATTTCATACCAAATACCAAATAAAGAGAATTGAGGTCGATTCACATGAAGCTGCGGAACGTTTGAGTCGTGTCACCCGCTGCGGTTGCTTTCCCCGTCGACCTTTGTAGCACGCTACGCTGCTGTCTCTCCACCTGCCCCGCGTCCCCGGCGGGGAGGGGGGCTTTATGCGACCTGACTGCCCCATGTGGAGTAGGTAGGCGGGGGGGTGTGGGGGAGGCTATTCGTGTACCGTACAGGTCAAAGGGCATCGGCACACGTTGACGTGATGGGTCGTGAGGAAATGGCTCCATCGGATTCATATTCCGTGCGGAGCTCTTGGACACCTGTTGGGAGGAGCGGGGGATGAAGGGACGCGGCGAGGGGAGGTGTAGGAAAAAAGACAGGTGGAGAGGGGCGACGGGGGGGCGGCATGGAGTGTTTTCACCTGCAGCTGGAGATCAACCAATGGCGACGTCATCGGGCTCACGGGGGAGGGATTTGGAGACGGAACATGACAAACATTAACAGTGAGCACGATGATGAACTTCGACCAACGATGATGTATGTAAAAACAAAAGAAGATCAAACTCTGGTTTAAATATCTTTTTTAATTCAGCATGAGCTTGTTAGACACCTCACAAGAACTGAGCGGGGTGGAAGTGAGCGACGGTTCCTCGCGCCTGTGAGCGTAATACTGTCATTCCTGTTACTGAATTGTCTCATGTAACCGTACTTTCGTGGGTTTGGCCGTCATTTCGGTCACCGCTCCGGGACGTTAACAAAAGGGTGTCCGATGGCCACAGGCTCTCTGCAAACCGAGACAAATAAGATGCATTCCTGGGTTTTTATTTCTTCCATAAAAAAGCCCAGATGTCCAAGATGTTTGCAAATGACAGCGTGGTCATGTGACTGTTTTTGTTCCTTCTCTTGCATTCAAAGCTCTCAGGTTTTTTAATTATTATTAATATGATTATTATTATTATGAGATAGGTGTTACCAAAACTGATGGCCAAACCTAAAAATAACATTTGAGTTTCCATTAAACGAGGTTCTGTGTCAGTCTGTTACACTCTGCAGTGTTACAGTCTGTTACAGTCTGCAGGTTAAATTAGTAGCACGGTACGCTCATTTAAGAGTAATCACATTGGGTGCATGGACACCTGTACACATTCAAATGTATGAGTCAACGTCCCCCAAATGGCACGACGCTGTAGATTAGAGGCGGGTCATCTTTGACAGGTGGACGCGCTCCTCATACAAGTCGGACCCACTAGTGACGGCTTCATTGTGGCTCCAGCAGCATCGGAAGAGTTTACATTTTCTGACATCACATTGAGACGAGTTCACCACGATCTGGCCGGTGTTGAGATGCTGCAGCGGCGAGGAGAAGAAAAGGGGGAAGATAAACCTCGATGTGCCTCGGGGACTTACACAACGCAATGAATATTCTGGCTTCATCCGCGTGGAAGAGTGAGATGAGATGTAACGCGCGGTGGATGTGCTAAATAGAGACGGCGATGGAGAACGAGGATGTACGCTAACCTTCGCCATCACTCTGTTTATTGAGAATACACAAAAGGTCTTCGTACTCGGCTACTTGCTACGCCTCCCCGCTCGCTGTGAAATACACGCGCTGTACGCACGCCGTGTCAATGGTCCACGTCCACAACCCTTTGCTACCAGCAATTTAAACATAAAAAGTCCTAAAGGGAACAGAATACTCCACACGGGGCCTCTGGCTGCTTCTGCTTACAGCTCCAATCCAACGTGATCCTGTGGCTGCGTTTCACTGACCCGACTTTATTTTATCAGTAAGAAGAAGCAACGATACGTTTTTAAGTCATTAAAAGTGGTTAGAGCGGTTTTAGAGGCCGGTCGGGTTAAAGACCATCTTATCTTTCCCCAATGGAGACCAGATTTATTTACATGAAACCTCCTATTTTTATCATTAACATTAATATTTCCATTTAAATCCAAGTAATATTAGCATGAGTGCCGATGGGACCCAGTTGATCTTCTCATATCTTCTGGCTGATGTAGATGCGTCGGTGTGTCTGTCCACATAAAAGCAGCCTTTTTTTATTTCATCGTGGAATTGTAGAGTTTGTCTTTTGTGTAGCCGAGGTTTGCGTGTGTTGTGTGACGAACCCCACTGCGGAACGTGGCTGTTACCCAAATGCATCTGTGCAAATATGGATCATGTGAAACAAACGCAGGCAGCAGGCAGCACCATGACTCGCCTCCCTGAAGCAACTCATTCACTGTGACCAAAAATCACTTCTGCCACAGCTGCACCCGGACGGGAAAGAAATCCTTTTTCACACAGAGGAAGGTCTCTGACGTTCACATCGTCCGGGACGAGAGACGAGCTGGCAGAGTCTAGCGCAGCGGACTCAACAAAAGGCCCCGTCCCCCCCGCCGCCCCGCACCGGCGAGCGTCGATTGAGGAGTCTCCATCCGAAAAGGAGGAAGAGGATCAAAAAGATCACACCTCCGCCGAGACGCCGTCTTTCCTACGTCAGCGCCTTCACTCAAACCCTCTGTACGTGTGGAACGGGGGGACGGGGGGTCGTCGCCTGCGTTCCGTTAACCCGCCGCCGCCGCCGCCCCGCCGCCCCGCCGTGCGTCCTCACACTGTCAGCGGGAGCTGCCACACCATGAGGACGTTCTCCAAACCCTCCCCGCCGCTCGGGGCGCCTGCTGCTGCGGCTCCTTCCTTCAGTCTGCGGAAGCCCTTCCCCCCGGAGATGACCGCCGCCGAGACCACCCTGTCCCTGCGTCCCCCGTCCCTCTCGCAGGGACGCCCCCGCACCCACATCTCGGGGTCGTCGCTGAGCTCGTAGATGGAGCCGTCCTCCACGCTGTGCTCCAGGGACTCCAGGGAGGAGTCGGACGCCGCCGCGTCGCCCCCCGCCGCCGTCAGCGGCTGCCCGGGGAGTCCCGAGGTGGAGCGCAGCTTGTACTGCAGCAGGACGCCGCGCCCTTTGCCCCGTCCCTCCCCCTGGTAGCAATGCTGCAGGGACTCCTGGGAGGAGGCGTCGCCGCCGAAGGCCGAGTCCGGACCGTCCGCGACCGAATCCCTCTTCAGCAGCTCGGGGGACAGGGTGCCGCTGGTGGCCGCCAGGAAGTCCACCGGCCCGCGGTGGGCGTTGAGAGACACCATTCCCTTCCCTGCAGGACGCACAGGGACAAAACACTTCAAAGTCGCCATTTGTCACTTTAACTGTGTGTGTGTGTGTGCGTCGCCAAGCGGGCAGCGTACCTGTTATTTTGGGGATGCCCTCGAGTTTGGGAACCGGCAGGGTGATGATTAAGCCCTGGGGCCGTGCCCACCCACAACAGCCCCTGGCAGATCAGGAGACTGGTGACCCGCACGCTCTTTTGACCTGCAACGTAGACGGAACATTGACAGGAGTTTGAGTTTTTCACGGCTGCTGACAGAAAGGTCACGTGCTCCTGTGAAACAGTCGTAAGTGTCGACTGGCTGGTCGATCGTGCACAGAGTGAACTGTGAACTCATTGATTTGACTCTTAGGGGAAGTTGTTCCAGAACACTGTATTTTGGAAGCGGCACGAACGTTAGTAAGCTCTGGGATCGATATCTGTATTTGACAAGCTCAACACACGCACGGCATGTTACGTGGGATCACGAAAAATTGGATTTGTCTACTTTACTTGTGAGCAGATTGAAATTAAAAAAAACTGTCAAATAAGTAAAAGAAAAGTTTAAAAAATCACAGTGGTTTTAAAGTTTCACCTCTCACTGATTACACAGGGACCTTCTGCTGACATAATGCTACTAAATAATGTGCCTGTGCTGCAAAACAGGTGTTTTCAATCTTTTTGATCAGCCCTCAGCAGAGTGTGTGTGTGTGTGTGTGTGTGTGTGTGTGTGTGTGATCATGATGGCAAACCCCCCCTTTGACCTCCACACAACCTAAGAACACCAGCGACCCCTTTCTTGTTTTTGTGTTTATCGTTGTCCTTCAGTGGATCAGATCCGATGTGGATCTGAGTCTCTGCTGAAGCCACGTCGGGTCTGACACAAGATGCCCGCGGCCCAACGGGTCGGGAGCGCGGCGATTTAAAGCACGAGGCTGGATGAACTGATATTAGCACTATTTGTAGAATACGTTTCTAGTGAAAAAACTACATTTTAAACACTGTCAAGCAACAGTGGGGTTTGGAAAAGGGGCGTAAATATGCAGTTCCATAAAGGGAAGGACCTTCTTTTTAAGCCCTGTGGAAGTTCTCCATTACGGTAACATTTCAGGCGGTCTCTGGCGGTCAATTTCCTGCCCATGAAAAGAGCATTTACGTTGCCTGAGAGCATGAGGCTCTGAGCTTTGTCTCTTTCCCGTGCAGAACGTCGTCCTGCTGCGATGGGGGAAGGACAAACGCACTCTTTCCTCGTGCACATCCTTTGTTTCCACTCAACAAAAAGGGCTGGAGAACAATGTCTGGCGCGGATTTGTTTTGCGTTCCTTTCCCCCCGTCGTGGGTTCCCATCGTGGCCTAGTTATCTACGGCGCCATTTACCATAATATCCACGTCAACCCTAATTGAATTACACCAGCGGCCCTGTGATCGTTGCCGGGGGAAACGCTCATTTACATGGGAAGCTGTATTTACATGTTTGTTCTGCGTCACGCTCGTGTTCTGATAATCCGCACCAGTAGCTCAACGCCGTCCTTAATTAATCGCGTTCGCGGAGCCGGGATGATTCATCCAAAGTGTGGGGGGGGACCGAGGCGTGGAGGGGGGGACCGAGCGCGTTCGTCCCACAGAGGGGACGGAGGCTTTTAGGACGGAGACCTCGGAGGGTTCGTTTTAGTTTTCCGCCACCTGCTCACACGCCCCCCCCCCCCCCCGGAGCCCATTTGCGGCTCGTGGGGAGAGAGAGACGCTGGCGAGCACCTGCTCCCCGACGGGAAAGTGGGATAACGACAAAGGCGCCGCTGCAGTCGCACCTCCTTTTTCCTGCAGTAACGCACAAACTGTCCCCCGAGTGGAGGAGGAGACGTCTCCAAAGATAAACGTCCCCCTGTGATGTGTCAGCGAGGATACAAGTATTAAAGGCATTATAGAGAAGAGATCAGCAGTTTCTTTCCCTGTTGTTTACTGCATCTGGGTTCCCCGCTGAGTATAAATCACATTAAGGGGGGAGGATTAAGGGGTATATCATTACTGCGTGTCCCGGCAGGAGTCAAGGAAAAACCCTCCGGGGTGGGGGGGGGGGGGGGGGCAGAGACTCGTCGACGGAGAGAATCCATCGGTATTTCGCGCGCGGTGTCTGAGGGGTTATCGAGTGCAGGTCCTCTTTTCTCTTGTGAGCTCAACAAATCGCTGAACTTAAGTCAAAGATCCTCCTTCCTTTTGTGCACCAGGAAGACGCGAGCCGAGCAGCTCAGCGCTCACCCCCCCCCCTTGTGACTCGCCCCCGGGTCGAGCCTCCAGGTTGCCAGACGCTTTCAAATGTGGGTGCAGGTGACCTTGGGGTCGCGGGTTTCCTCCAGACGAGTCTGCTGTGCTGTAAGACTCTTGAACAAAAAAATAAAGAGTACTTTGATCTGCAGGAGAAAAGTTTGTGGAGTAAAACACATTCGTGTTTTTGTATTCTTTGTCTTTTTCTCCTCAGCCCACAAGAGAAAACCTCGAGTATTGCTCTAAATACATCAAGCGCGTCCTGGTATGACTCAGTGAAAAGGGACAAAGCGGTTCGGACGCAGCTTCTTTGACCGTTTCCTACGGGTTTCAACTCGGACCTTCAAATTTTTTTTAAAATTAAAATGTTCTACTCGGAATTTTAATCGACGGGCTGCACAATAACTTTCACTAAATATCATTTTAACCATCAAGTTTAAACCTCCAAAAATTCTAAATGTTTTCCTTTGGAATTTTAACTGTATTTCTAGAGATTATTTGCATGAAACACATAATGTATTTAACTATTTAACTGATAAGTTAATGTATTTATTTTTAATAAATTGCTTTAGGGTCACAATTCCCTCGCTTATATTCTCTTTTGACGCAATAATATCTACATACATGGTATTTATTATTATTCTCAACCAAATCATGATGTTATAATTTAGCAATTCCTGTGTCAAGGCTTGAAATGTTTAACCCGCCGTCATGCAGCACAAAAGGAACCTCACGTGGACTGAATGAGCCTCGGCATGTTTATGGAAAGCCGTACTGCGGTTAGCTTTGTTAGACGCTTCCAGGTAAACACCCTCTCAGGCTGATAAATATTTCATCATCGCGATGGAAGCCAAACGTCCTGAGCGGAGTGCAGAGAGCCAAGTTCTACGCCACTGCGGACCAGATGAAGAGGGAATTGAGAGGGAGAAAGTGGGACAAAAGGGTAGAAGAATAATAACCAGAAAGGTGAGGCACATGCAGAAAGAAACGGAGGCAAATGGGCACATTTACCTGTGCACATCTACAGAAAGACAAGACGGTTTCCATGGGAACCCTTTGAGCCAAGAAAGCTTTAAGGCACCTATTTTACTGCACCTAAACTACTTTAATCATTTTTTTTAATACCTATCTCTCAAACCATGGCTCTATTACGGCTTTGAGAAGGCATCAGGGGGATATTTATTCAGATGGGCCCCCCCCCCCCCAGGGGCGACGGGACCAGAATAGCCCTCTGGGTAGGAGAGCATTACCAGTGTTTAATTGGCGCCCACTGATTGCTCTGATTTAACAAAGGACAAAAATGAAACTGCACTGTGTGCAATCTTTAAACAATAAAGTGTCACAGTTGCAGAGCGGCAGCAGCGTCTCAGCTGCTCTGCAGGACGGCGGCTGAACTCGATTTATTGAGGTCGATGTGACGTCGTGTGCGTTTACCCGTGTTCAGCAGCGTCGAACGCGTCGACACGTTGATCTCCTGCAGAAGCTCCAGCGTTTCGGTATGAAAGAGACGGATGGAGGAACCCTCGGAGAACGCCATCCACACCCCCCCGCCGGCGCACGCCGTGTGCGCGACGCTGATCATTGGGTCAGGGTGGACCTCAAACGTCTGTAATGGAAACAATAAAAAGGGTAAAGCCGAGTTCTTTTCCTCTTTGTTTGACTTCCTGGCGTGCTGAACATCTGGCTCGTCCCACATGGGATCACAGGACACTGTGTGTGTTGCCACATCTGTAAAGGACCTCCCCTAGATAAATAAATGGGTTGATGGGCTTGTTAGACATCTTTTTTGAGATTGTAATAACATTATTTGGAGTTACGACCAAAATTGTATTTCACATTGGTCACAGTGACTTTAACCACAGATATCTAATTGTTATTATTACTATTATACTTATTATTGTTATACTATTGTCCGTTTAAGTGGAAAAGCGGGGAATCAAACATTTTGTTAGCAATACAAATGACAATGAATAGTTTCGTTTGATGGCGGCCCAGAAGCTGGTTTTCATCCCGAGGGGGGAAAGCGATTCACCAGGACAAACACGGCCGGCGCGGACATGCGCCGTCAAAATAATTAAACCCGTCGTCCCAGAACTCTCATTTACAGGCAGACCGTATATATATATATATATATACTTTTTATATATATATAAAAATAATATATATATATAAATATTATATATATAATATATATGATATATAAATATTTATATATATAATATATGATATATAAATATATATATATATAATATATATGATATATAAATATTTATATATATATAATATATATGTATATTTAGATATATATATATATATATAAAATATATATAAATATTATATATAATATATCTGCCCCGCTCTCCTGGCTTCTATCGTTTAAACAACAAAAACACAAAGGAAAAAGAGCGTTTCAGGCAAACAGTCTTAATGAGCGGCTTGAAACAAATGAAATGAGCCTTATCATGGCAACACACGCAGCCCCCCCCACGCAGTCTGAGGCGTGACACAGGCTGGTTCGGGCATCGTCTCTGAACCCGTATCGCTGAGACAGCACGAGCTTCACGCGGCCGGTCAATTAGTCAGTGAGAGGGAGTGAGTGAAAATGACTCCCTCAGCTCCCCTCTCCCCCTCAGCTCCCCTCTCCCCCTCAGCTCCCCTCTCCCCTTACAAAGACGAGTGCAGGGATTACCACCTGTTTGCGCGCCCTCGCCGGTGGGTCCTCCTTTGTTGGAATTAGGGGAAAGGAGGGGAGCCTTTGATGTGTTTTCTCTTTTAATTGACTCCTCGGCAGAGTGTGTCTGCTGCGCCGGGGAGACGAGATCCACGCGGCATCGCTTTGTTTTTCAAGTGCAGCCATCAAAGAAATCCAATATCCACAATAGCAAGGCGCGCGTCTCCACAAATAACCCATTCACCATGTCAGATGCAGTGACGTGATGCTTTTAAAAAGAAGGAAAAAACACACCGTCACGGTGTGCTGCAAATGCAGCGTGACGATCACATTAATAATTACCAAGCGTGGAGGCTTTTAAAGACACTAAGAGCTCGTCAATGGCTGTCATGCTGCCATTGGTAGATTGGCCATCCTGCTTCCCATATGCCTGCAACCACCTGGAAGGCTCTCTGGGAAGCCAATGTGTTGTATTGGAATATACAGAAATTGATTTAAGAACTTTTAATTTGAAAGAAAACTATGTTTTTAGCTGCATTCGAGCCCATGTTGCAAACTTGAAGTCCTCAGACATTTAACCAGGGAGGGGGGGGGGCAAACTAAATTGAAAAAGGTGTCAAATGTGGGACAAGTACAAGCACCAACTGGCTGCCCGGTTGCAGAGATGAGGCGCTCGCTGAAGCTCGACATTAGTAATGTGCCCTTTGCACTGAACTCACTAACTAACCGCGCCGGCCGGCAGCCGCACGACAACAGCAGAAAGTACTACAGCTGGTTCCCGGCGCCTCATTAGTCCTTGGTTATACCAGGTGACGAGGAGTCTTTGTCCTCCCCGGAGTGTGAGTGGGGAGGATAAGAAATGGCGATAGGAAGAGGAAGGAACGAGGCCTGCCGGTCGGCCCTGACGGTACGTCCGCGTCCGACGTGGTTACGGTTCGGGTGAGAGACCTCCGTGCAGTGTTTACGCTCCAGGAAGGAGATTGGCAATTATGGCATCACAAATCAAGCAGGAGGGTACTGAAAATAATGATAAAATGTTTGTGTTTTTGAAATAAAACGTGTAGAAGCATGTAGAAAATCACACAAACGATGCAAAGCACTATAATTAGATTCAAATCAGCCGCTGCTGCGCGACAAAATCTTTTATTTGTTGAGATTTTTCTCATTTTCTCCCCAATTAAGTTCCTTTAAAGTTGTCATGCCATGATTCCTGCTGCTCCTCCAGTTGGCCTGATTTCATTGAACTATTTGACTTGAGAAGAGGCGTTAATACGTTTGAATTTATGTGAAATAAGTGGCGTCCTCATGTTTACTGTCAGAAGGGTCCTCTGGTTGGGAGCTGATGCCACCGTATGCATTATCGTTATTGAATCGGCGTTTGGGGCCATGCTTTTTGTCCTCGGGGCGCCGTGGGCGGACCCCCGTCGGACCCATGGACCGTCTGCACCACCGCCGGCTTCCTCGCTGCACGAAGCTTCCGGCACCGGGACTGGGCCTCGGCAGTGACGGGACACCCCGAGTGACCTTCTTGGTTCCACATGGGTTCCACATGGATCTCATATTTAAATGATTATCATGACATTCACTTTCCCCACAGATAAAACCTGATGGCTGTGGTGACCCCCCTCCCCCCCTTCTCAGTAGGACGTTCGGGACAGACATTCATGGTCATCTAATGGTTCCTCATCTACTGCTTCCCACACGGCGAAGATCTCACTAACTCAGGACCGTAATTCGGAACAAATCGGTCAATTTATCGTCAATAAAAATTGGCGATTTCGTCGCTCAGGGATGTTTTTGGGTCACACATGAATCCAGCCACACATCAACATGTGAGCATCTCCCTCGTGTGCATATCCATCCATCTATCTTCATATCTCTCCCTTTTTTGCACCAAACACCTTTGTTTGGTAGCGAGGTTTTCATGCACCCCCCCCTCTCCCCCGGGGGGGGGAGTGTAAATAATCAAAAGAACAAAGCTGAGAATTAAACACACACCGCACGCACTTTTCAGCGAAGACGATACTTTGGTTTTCTGTGCAGGCGATCACGACCGCGTTTCCCCGAAACAGACTGGAAAAGGTTTATATTTAGACGGGTAGAAGCGTCGACTGTGAAAGCTTTAAGAAAGAGACCCCCGGTAGCCGCGTGGGGGAGGAGAGGGGGCCCGGCACCGTCAACCCAGACAGCCCACAGTGTCACGGATAAATGATTCAAAAGCCGAGTAAATTCGACAAAATGGTGAACATCCGCGAGGGGGGGGGGGCAGCCTCGCTCCGCTTCATTCCTACAGGTGGCGGCGCTCCGCTTCACGGTGCAGTCAGCCCCCCCTGAGTGCATATTAGCGGGGAAGACGACGAGGTTAGCACAGGGGTAACTGCTGACTCCGAGGGAGCTACAGTCAACCAGAACTGCGCCTCCACCGGGCGCGGCCCTTCGGCTGATTAAGCCGGTGTCACCGGAGGACGGCGGCTGCGGGGAAAGACAAGGAGACGCGTCTTGCTTACGGAAGCCCTCCCTCCCATTAACGCGGCCACGCACAGATCACATCTGGGGGGGGGGCTATAATTAAACGGTAATGGTGTGCGGTTGGGTATCTGGGTACCATATTAACATTACCCTGAAGAGCCCGTCATTCATTACTGTCTGCCAGAGCCGGGAGGCGTCCCCCCCCCCCCACACACACACACACCCCCCCACCGTGAACACCTCGAAGAATGACTGCACAGAAATGAAAAGCATGACACGGACGACACCCGGGAGGCTCCGGAGGAGATAACGGTCTCGCAGCGCTGCAGTTAGATGAGGCTTATTTGCGCGTGAGCGCTGCAGAGTTTGTTTGCTCGGTTGTCCGCGCGCCGGCTCCAGGCCGTAAATCTTCGTGGCATCGCAGATTACAATGCCGGCGCTCTCGGGCTGCGCGCATAAATCTTTTCAGAAAATGAAAAGGAGCAGAATTTTTCCTCAAACGCCGCGGAAAACAACAGAACACATAAATAAAGTACCTCGACTAGCGCCCCCCCCCGCCCCACCCGCGAACTCATCCATTTACGTCTTCAAAACATGCCGCGGTGAAGACGCGGAATATTTAGCAGGTGGGGAGGTGGGCGGGTTTGACCTTGCGAGTAGCGATGGAAGAAATATAACAAATTGCCTGGAAGGCCTCTCGTTACCTGCTAAGAGATTCACAATTGCTTAATTACAGCTGAAAATACTGAATGCTGTAAATGATGATGATGGGTTTTAGCAAATGTGCCTGTTTGGGTAGCAGTTAGCATAAATCACATGATGGGGTTTTGCTTGCGTTGAACCCGACACCCAAAACACTCCAATTCTCCAGGAACATTCTGGGATTTTCTATTCTTCATCCACCTTTTGAGGCGCGCGAGGAAAAACATGTTTTTGTTTTTATTTGAATGGGATCATTTATCACCGGATCACGTATGAAGCGTCAGAAGGGCTTTTAATGGAACAACAGCATCAGTGAAGGTTAAAGTTATTATGGTTGCTTCTCTCTTAAGGCGGTTAGTGTGAAATCGGTGGTGGATGATTCGGCCGTTCACCTGGGTGCTGAGACTGGAGACGTCCACCACGGTCACCGAGTTCCCGCAGCTCGCCCACACCGAGTCGTCCAACACCAGCAGAGTCCGCACCGGTTGCGAGCCCAGTTTTACACATCTGCACGAGTCCGGGTCCCACAGAGCATCTGGGGGGGGAAAAACGAAAAAAAATGAATTCCCTGCTCAGAAGCACCGAACATATTCGCGTGAGCGTCGCACCGACTTCCTCAACGTGAGGACATTTCTCCACTCCACTAGCAAATACGTTTCGTGGCCAGGAAATTAAAATGATACTTGCGAAACTTTGCTGTATTTTTAGCAACAATCCTCCCGCTGAGTGTGAGAATGGAAACGGACCCTTTTTCTCCTTTGCGTCGCAGCGACCACGGAGGCGCGTTATGAAGTGAAAAAGCATTTCCTTCGCTTTGCGTTAATGAAGCAAAAATTAGGGAACAAAGCGCACCCAGCCATTTAATTAACATTTTGAGTTGTTGATTTCTGCCTTTCATAGCGGACTAGCTGTTCGGAGCCTTCTGACCTCCGCAGGTTAATTGCTTGGCATGTTAGAAAAGGTCATTTTTCCACCTTTTCAAAATCCACTCCTGTGAGATGTCCCTTTGGCGCTGAGCGAGACCACGGCGGCGCTCCTCCCTCTTCGACTCACCGGGCGCCGAGGCTTTTTCCCCTTCCACCCCCCCCCCCTCCCCCCCTCAACGCAAACCATTGTCGACGTTGACGCGGCGTCTTGGAATCAGTGAGCAACGGCGCGTTGCTCTGTATTCACGCGCCTTTTTCTCGGGCAGAAGCAGCGCAGGTGAAGGGCAGGAAGGAATCCAGCGAACATCCTCCGCAGCTCTTTAGCTGCTCTCCTCTACGTACAAAGCACGAATAGTAATATTTAATCGGCGAGCGGCAGCTTGCCGTAATTAATCATCCTTTCTGCTCCGGGAGGAGAGAGGAGGCAGCCAGTCAGGCTGACGCACGGAGGCCAGGTGAGGAGAACCTGCTGAGGGAACGAGTTCCAATGGTGCCCCCCCCCCCCCCCTCTGGCCCTGTGCAAGGCCTGACTAATCAGGCCGTGCCATCTACCACCTGGTGCAGCGTTATTTTCATACATCCACTGGAGTGGCGTGTGGAGATCTGGAGTAACGCGTGAAGGGAAAGTGATTCTGATGGAGTCCCTTGAAAGATTTTTACAAAAAACTCATTATGAAAATAGATTAAATGGGAAAAGTGTCCCTGCTGACAGATGATGATTTATGCCGCCGATGTTTACTGCATCAAACAGTAAAACCCATTGCTACTTATTATATCACTGTCTGTTATATCACCCCCCCCGACAGGCGCCTCACCGTCCTCTTTCCTCCCGTAGACCATCAGGGCGCCGCTGCGCAGGCCGGCGAACAGGAAGCGGGCGGAGTGCTTGAGGCACAGCACGGGGGAGCCCTCGGCGGCGGCGAGGGTCAGCAGGCACTGCGCCGCCGTGTCCACGCTGCCGTACACCAGCACGCTGCATGGGACAAAAGAGCGGCGCCGGGCGTGATGAATGGCCGTCGTTGGAAGTGACAAGAAGTGGCTCGATTTAAATTTTGACTTGACAGACTGATTGAACACAGAAACGGCTGAATCTGAAATGTTTGAAAAAGGGGAAAGACAGGTGGAACCTTCCCCCCCCGGTTCTGATGCTGTGTTGTGGTGTCGAATCTGCATCCATCTCTACATCTACGCCGTGACTTCTCTTTGCGATTTAATCGAATTTTGACCTGATTTCAAAAAAGCTCACCGCCCGTCGTCCAACCCAACGCAAATGCTGGCGCCGACCCCGGAGGCCTTGTGGACTCCGGCCTCCGCTTCCTCAGACGGAGAAGGTTCCGGCACGTATTCCAGACAGCGGACGGCGGCGTCGACCGGCAGGCTCTTGACCGTCCTCGGCGTGGGTCTGTTGAGGGAAAATATCTCGATCTGTCCGTGCGCGCCGTCTCCGCCGGCCACCTGCGGGGGGGGGGGGGGGGGGGGGAAGGGGATGCGAGAGGTCAGGGGACCCGGCGTTAAGCTCACGCCCGAATCACAATGCCAATAAACGGGTCCGCTGGAACGGAAAGGGACAAACGGGTGGGACGAACCCGTCGGCCTGCCTTGGATAATGTGTCTCCGGTTAAACATTCTCCTCGATTCTTCCTTTCAGGCTCGATCGTCTGTAGTCCTCTTTTGAGCGCCGGGAATATCAGAACTTTAAACGCGTTATGTAACGGATTCACAATGTCATCTGTGGAACATCAAACAACTCTTATAAGCCTGCGATCTTTTCATCTCGCCCGTTTCCGAGAGGCTCCGAGTTGCTTCTCAATGAGGGTGTTTTGGGTTTTTTTACGAGATCAAGTGGCTGATCTATCGCTGGAGTCAGTTCATGATGAAAAGGGAAATATACAGTACGTAGCTAATATATATATATGTATTTATATAACTAACTTTCCTTCAATTGAGCTGACATTTGTCCTTATCAGTTCCAAGGTCGCGCTGAACACTCGAGGACGCCGAGCTTCTGAAAGCTGGCGAGTTTCATCCACCTGTTTGTGTCTTTTTGAAGAGGGACTTGTTTGTCTGCGTTGTCCTCGAACCAACAAGCAGGAAACCACAGTAAGTAACACAAAAACAAAAAGGTCCACCAATCACACCAAGCTTCCCAGGGCGGCGGCGGCGGCGTTAATAGAAGCTTGATTTCCTGTGCGCCACATTCATAACGGCCTCTGTGTCAGCAAAACCCCGACCGCCCTGCAAACTGCCTCTCGTGCGACTCCAATTAAGGGGGCCGTTGCTCCCACTCCCAAACAATTAAAGTGCCGCTGTGGCTTTTCAACATCATTTCACTCAGCCATCACTTGCCTCGCCGAGCGTCCGGTGGAGAACAACGTCCTCCTCGGTAAAGACAGCGGGGCCGCTTGCTGCGAGACGCCGCGGATGTATTTTCCCCGCGTGCGAATGTGACAGGAGCTAAATATAGTCTTTGGCTCCTCTCCGCCACGCTCAGCCTTATTTGCATGCAATCATTTGTTTGATTTGTATCAGCGTGCGGAATCTGGACGGCGGCGATCCTGCGGGCTCCCGAGAACGAGCCAGAACAAATAACGCTCCGCGGCGCAGGCGGAAAAAAAGGGAAGATAGGGAGGAATTATCTTGCACCGAGGAGCCCAAAAAGGCAGGACGGCGTCAAGTGACTCTGTGCAGCTGGAGCCAGAGGCCAAAAGCCCCCCCCCCCCCCCCGAACCCCCGCAACACAAAGTCCACCCCCGCAATTTAAACATTCATCTCCCAAACTCCTCCGCACGCCACTATCTGCACCGCCGCCGCCGCCAACGGACCTCCCCTCCCTCTCCGCGCCCGACATCCAACGCAAATATTGTCCATCACTGGCAGTTTGGCAGAATAGATTTCTGGAGCCGAATCGGGCGGCGAGCGCGCCGCCGGCATTAATTAGGCCGCCGCGGGGGCCAGCGTGGGAAAAACGCTCGCGGTGCTAAAAGCCCAAAACCGCGGGTCGCCAGATTTTCGACGTACTCTGAGGCACTTCGAGCTTCGCGTCGCTGACGCCTGCTCTGAATACTGAACAGAAACGGAATATCTGAGCCAAACAGAAAGGGGCCGAGCTCAGGACGCAGCCTTTTAAAAAAGGTGAACAATATGGCCGCCGACGTGAACTAACTGCATGTAAAAAGTAGGATGTTTTTTAAAATGTGGGACGAGGAGGTGAAGGGAAACACGGGGGTATCAGGCTGACACGATGTCATTACTGTGATCAAAGCCCACCTCAGTGCAACGCGATTAGCGTCATCCCTTATTTGACAAGCCTGCCAGGGAGGTGGAACCAACCGGGGGTGGCAACGCCCAGCTGCCAATCATTCCCGCTGATGGGCAAACCTTCACTGTCACGTTTTTAGTTTGGACGCCAAGTTGCTTTCGCCGTGGTTACGCGTCGTGCTTCAGGAGACGTCTCGAAACGCTCAAATGACGAATACGGCGAGATGCTGTACGTCTCCATGGCGATGCAGAGAGAGGACCGCTCAGGGCTCCATGGAACATGGAATTTTTTTGTCATTTTCATCGACTTGAAAAAAAATGGTCTTGAATGTGGTTTCGTGAATGAAGCGGTCGGAAGTTGCTCCGCACGGAGCCTTCTGCTAAACTGACGTTGGCGAGTGTCGGCCGGCGTGCGCTGGAGCGAGAGAGAGAGATTGAGCGCGTTTGTCACGATGACTGTGAAGGTATAACAGTAACTTCACAGCACGGCCGGGCGTGAAGGCATGAAAAGACTTGAGTTAAGGCCTCCTCCACGATAGCGCTCACAACAACCCAGCCACATTCCTTTGGTCTCCGCCGGCAGACTCTTTCAAATGATTGAAATGCAAAGTTATTGTAGAACACCAAATGGCACGGACTCCAAACACAAATATGCAATTATAGTTCAGGAGGTGCCATTCTGTTTACTGAGTGACGCCTAATCTCCAGTAAACCTCCCAGTTTCACGTCCATTTTGAGCTAAACTCAATTGGAATTACAATAAATTTAATTTAAATTAGTTTTCAGAAGTGTCAAAACATCAACCGGTCGAATCACAAGGCGGGCCGGACACTGTTGGGTATTTCTGCTGCGAAATGCAGGGATGTATTTAGAATAAGTACAATTACTAACTTTTTATTATGTCATTCTGAGATTCAGAATTTTTTTGATGTAATTATATCGCGCCTTTTTAAATTATGAGCATTCAGAAACCTCAAAGACTTGTACTTGTTTCCAAAAACGCCCATAACCTCTAGCCCTCTGTGACGTTCGAGGCTCCCTTCAAACGCTGTTACCACGGCGCCCTACGCGCTCTCCTCGCGCATCTCTTTTTCTCATCGCGTCTGACGGAGCCTCCGGGCCACACGGAGTCTGAGGCGCCCGAGACGCCGTCCGCGAGGACCTGCACCGGATTTAGTCGCCTTTTTCGGTCGCGGGAGGATTACCAGCATCTGATAAGCGTCCCGCACCCTCCAAAAAGAAAAGAGGGAACAAAAATGGAACATTTAAAGATTAATAGCAGAGCCTCTGCAACGGTTTCCCCTAACTGCCCCCTTCCCTCAGCTTAATCCCGGGGATGGTGATGTGAGTCTGGCAGCACACTTTGCCCCGCTCATCATGAAGCACTCTGTAGCAGTTACCTACCACTAGCCTTTATACTGCACTGTATTAATTCACACTTTCCTGGCGGCATTTCACGGAGAAAAATGGTGCGTGCGCCACCGCCGGCCTTCAGATCCATTCTTTATTCTAACGAACGGGAGCCCAGCGTGGAGAGGACGTTTAAACGGGCAGCAACGTTATACATGCATGCTTTTGTTCTCGTGTGTGTGAGAAGACCGTAAATAAAAATTAAAAACAAAACGGTACTCACCCAAAAGTAGCCTTGAGGTAAGGAGGTGCTCGCTGCGGAGAAGCCCAACAGCGCACAGTGAACCGGGTTGTGGAGGGCAGCTTCAAGCTGCAAGAGAGCAAATGGATATTTACTGTGTGTGTGTGTGTGTGTGTGTGTGTGTGTGTGTGTGTGTGTGTGGCCCGATGCTGACACCCTTATTTTCATATTCTTTTGATGTGGTCAAAAGAGCCGAGTGACTGCTGGCTTTTCATTGGGTGGTTGCTGACAGGAAAGTGCCTCGACTCAGCCGCTGACAAGAAGTTTGTCAGTCCACATTGGAGGTTGGAGGCTTTCCGCCCACTTCAAAGCCACGTGAGAGTGTGAAAAGAGTCGGCTTCTGATTTCTCAGATATATTTTCACAAGGCCGTGGATAAATAATAGAAAAATGCAAACAGACAATCGCCTGAAATGTTGGTATTTGAATCCAAACTGATAAACAAACCTTATTTATGCGTTTCTCCATTACATTTAGGTGTTACTTTTAGTTTGCTCACCACGGCTCCCGTTAGATTGCAACTTTTAAACCGAGGCCGAACGAGCCGATATCTTATTAATAAGGAAAACAAATCAGAATTCCCGAGTTGTGTGGCAGACTTGTTCACGTGAAGCCGCCGTGATGGAGGTTGACATTTAAAGTGTACAGCTGGCTGATGCATCGAAGCCTCCTGTGGTGAAAGCCGCTCCTCTAACCGACAGTCCGTCGGGTAGAAAATTATTATTATTTTGGTGTGTGACCGCTGAGGGTGGGCAATGTGACAGACAGAACGGCTAATTTTGTGTGTTGTTGGGGTAGTTTTGTGGAGGAGAGGGAGGGGGGGGGGGGGGTGAGTCGCTTTGAAAGGGTGGGGGAGGAACCGCGGAGAGGGTCAGCGATGAGCACCGCGCATCTTTAAATGTCGTCCTTGGCGGCGGCAACCATCAATCACACGGATTCATAGCCTCTCTCCGGGCCAAGACCCGCCCCCCTTTTCTCTCCTGGCGTGTGTGTGTCTTTGTGTAACAAAAAAGAGGACGCCGGCCCAGATAAACTGCCCCCCCCCCTCACCCCCCCCCCACCCCCGTGTCTGTCTCCATCTATTCATATTCACTACGCAGATGTGTGACTCGTCCTCTCTATCAATCTCTCAGTCCCACTTTCCCATTTCTCGTTCCCGTCCCTCCGTCTCCCCCCGTCTGCCCGTCCTCCGGCCGGGGCTGTGAAAGGGTTTGTTTTTTTCGATAGGTAATTAAGTGGCGGCCATTGCAGTGTCCATATGGAAGCCGTGCGGTAGAGAGAGAGCAGCAGTGGCGCCGGACCAGAGGGACTGCAGCTCTGCAGCCGACCGGGTCCGGTAGTTCGCCGCTGTTTATCGGGCCGCCTGAGGCCCGGCGGCGAGCAGTGAAGGCCGATCTATTTATACCCGGATTGCTGTGCACGTTGTCACTCTCCAGAGTCGGTCTCGCAGGACCAGTGGGACCTTTCCAGTCCCATCGCGGCGTTATATTCAGGTACGGGAAGGCTGGAATGTGCATTCATGTGCAAACAGAGAGGCTGCTGCTTTAATGGCATATTTACCATTTGAAAAAATGTGATTGGGTTTAAGAAGAAAATTTCGTTTTGAAATATAACTGAGTGAGATGAATGACAGCGCATTATTCACGAGAAATGTTCGACAGCACTCTTCTTCCCATTGAATACACAATCGCACAATGATTAGAATGAAGCTGTCCATTTTCTCAATTAAACCTTTCAACGTGAAGCAGCATTTCATGTGAGAACGGCTGGAAGTGCACAAGACCACTGAGGCGAGGACGGATCGCTTTCCCACCCAAGTGCAGACAGAGGCCGTGATCAATACCGTAAAGCACTGGCACACTTATCGGACTCCCTCGGTAAGCAGCACATAACAGCGAAGCCTGTGTGGATCATTTGCACGTGTGAACGTGGCGATTATTTTGACGAGCACAAAAGCAAATGTTGTCTTCGGCGGAGATCGTCCCGTCGGCGATCCAAAGGCACCATTTAAAAAAATCCATGGGATCCTGGAAGTCAACCATCAGTCCTCTTTGTAGCTCTTACTCTGTGTGTGTGTGTGTGTGTGTGTGTGTGTGTGTGTATTCCCAGGCGTGGAGGCGGGATGTGAGAGGAAGATGATCCGGCTGACGGAGGTATGACGGAGGGCTTTAAGGAGCGTGGGTATAGGAAGGGGGGGGGGTGAGCTAATTAAAGCGAGTTTGTCGATGTGACCGGAGGGCGCCCTCCCAGCTGCCGGTTACCGGTGACCCGGTGGTCGAGAGGGACTCCGCCCCCCCCCCAAACCAGTTGTCCAGCCCAGATGCCGGTTCCAGGTGGCAGCAGCAGCAGGCGGAGAAGCATCCGTCGCTCGCCTGAAGGGTGGACGTGTAACGTGTGTGTTTAACACGCGTTTTAGAGGCGGCGGGTCGTTGGTAGGGGTCCATTGTGACAGGGACGGGTTTTAATGATTCCTGCTCGTGGTCACGTCAAGACCGTCTGAGCGGCGTCCCCTCGGTACGAGCGACCTCCCCAGATCCAATTAACGTTGTTTTTGCTTCCAGAGGCTTTTCAGGCGCACTGAGTTTCCTCACAGCAACATTTCCCTTCCCAGTGTAGACGTCTGTTCTGGAAGGTGGGTGTGGGGGGGGGGGGGGTTCACCACACATCAGATGCCTGACAGCTGCTATCCAAACAGGGTCCATGCATCACCTGGGGCCCATAATATCATCAGTGACAAAACACACCGCAGCCGGCGGTGCGTCGTCGGGCCTCCCCCGTGCTTATGTAATGGATTTCCTTTATTGGAAAGAGTTCTCTATGGTCTTTTATGAGAAACTGCATTAAGTAAAACTCCTGAGCCCACATTTCTGCACAGTTTGGAGCAAAAGATGAGATGCGGCGATACTGTTGCACCAAAAAAAAAAAATCTAATGAAAAATATCATCTCCATAAAAATGGCGACGTGGGAGTGGGAAGTGGGTGCCGTGTATTATATATATTTCTGTAGTCACAGTTGCTTCTCCCAATTCCACATACCAACAATCTTCTACACGCACTAACAAGCACTAATAGAAAACTTGCAGTGTTTATTAACTGGTAATTGACTGGCGCCGGCGCCGCCTCCCCACCGCCTCGGGGCTACGGGCACGACGGCCACAGACTGAATTGCCAGAAATGACTTACATCCAGAGCTCTGGCACAGGTAATGCACACTAAACAAGCCGCTAACATGCTCGGGTCATCAAAAAGGCGAGCTCTGATGGAGAGTGGCGTTTCTGCATTGACTTCCTCGAGCAAATAGAAAATGATGCTGATCTTTTTTTTTTTAAATATGTTTTTATCTATTTTGACCTTTTCTGTAAACATAAGTGGTGTTACTTTAACAGCATGTCTGCTACCGATGCTCGACATCTCTCATGAGCTAAAAAATCGTGCTCTGCAGCCTAATTTAGTCTGATTGATGATCTTACAGTGAAATGATTGGAAACTGCTAATATTCTATATTCATTCCTGGCATTTGGATTTATACTCTTAGAGGCTTGGAAGGACGAAAACACTCCTGTAACCTGCAAGAGGCGAGTAAAAAAAACTGTTAAACAGCCACACAAATTAACCATAAAGAAACGGGAGAAACAAAGAAATTACCTTGGGAAAAGAAAAAAGAAAAAGATGTTGAGATCAGAAAAAAGACCGTAGATGTACAGAATGTCACATGCGTGTGGGTGTGCACATACAAGAGAATTTACCAGGGTCACGCGGTCAAAACATCTGACTATGAAAAAAAAAATGTGTCCTTTACTTCCGACTACAGTGAGTTTGACGCAATTCCACGCGGCACAAATCTGCCTCCTGCAAAAGGATCCTACAGCTGCCAGCCGGGTACACTGTACATACTAACACTGAACATGTATGTGTGCTACATGAGCTCCAACACACACACACACACACACGATCATGCAGCAAAACACAGTTGGCTCGTTATCAGTTTCTTTTCCCGACGCATCACACTCGGATAACGAAGCTGATGCGAAAGGACAACGGGATCAAAGTTGCAGCTCGCTCTTCATGCTGCGGCTTCACGGGCTCGATGTCACCGTCTGCGCTCAGATATTCCGCCGGCATCCACCGCCGCAGATCAAAGGGCCAGCCCCCCGCCCCCCCCCCCCCCCCCCCTGCTGCGCTCGCGCGGGGGCTACGTTTCGTTCGTTCGGAATATTCAAAGTCGTTTGGAGACAATGAGATTAAACCGTCTGCATGAGAGGGCCGAGGGGGCGGCCCGACAGTCAGGTGCTCTAGAGGAGGTCGCCACTCCGGGCGGGAAAAAAAAAAAAAAAAAACGCGCGCTTATCAGGCCTGATATTAAAAACCGGCTCGGGCCCGTTTCCCTCGGTTTAATAACCAGCGCCTGTACAGTAGCGGCGCTCCGTCTCCCCCCCCCCCCTGGCCGCGCGGCAGATCATATCAGCAGTAAGTGGAATGAAGTCGCAGAGTCACTTTGCATAACGCCGCTTGGAGCCGCCGTCCTACAATTAGGTAGGACATCGCAAACTCGGGCGAGACGCGGCGACTCCACCGAGGTTTTCCTCCCTCGTGTCCTTCGCCCGCTCCCAGCTGAGCGATTGGAACGCGCCCGACAAAATGTCATGCAAATGTGCTGTGTCGCTATGACCCCCCCCCCTCCCCCCCAAACACACACACACAGATCACGTCCTGCGGCCCCCGACTCTGGATGACAGCCGCGTGCTGCCTCTGCATTAATGGGTTCAAACTTCCGTGTGTAGTCGACCACTTCGTCCATCTTCCCCCCCCCCGAGACAAGCGATCTTTACCCACCTCAAAGACAGAAACCGACACAACTGTTCTACAGTCCCTCATCCGACGGCAGGACGCGGCGCCGCGCGGCGGCTGCAGCTTCTTTTGCCAAGGAAGCTGCGCACATCAAGGAGCCCCCCCCCCCCCCTTCCCCAAATTCCAATCTGCCCCACGCAGTCCTTGGATCCTAATTCTGCGGTGGCCTGTTTGGCACGACATGAGACAAACACAAATCAAACGTGTTTTCTCAAAGAGAAATCTGATTGTTCGACCACCACACTTCAGGACCGTCGCTTCAAGCCCATATTTGGGTTATTTTTGCGTGTTGGCTGAAGCGAGTCGTATCTTTTCCAGCCGCGGTATTAAAACCATAAAACATTTCATGATGCAACTGAAAAAATGGAGAGCTCGGGTCAAATCATTAGTCAAAACTTTTCACATTAAAGCAAATTTACATTTACAGAAGTTGCTATTTGGACGGACTTTAAAAGCGGTAGCAGGAAGACTAATTAGCAAAGCAGAGAATGAGGAGCAACGGACAGGAAGCGGATTCCACAATAGAGCATCAACGAGGAGAGAGACCCTGCTTCCCTTCTCCTTTGGAATTGATGCAGTTTTTGCCTCTTCCACATTGACGCAGAGGACGAATGTGACTAATTTAGCACATTTAGCAGATCCGCAGGATTTCCCTTCCGGGTACATCATTTGTTCCTGCGTGCTCGCTCGACAAGTACACAGTGAGCGGAGACTCGGGGCCAGAGAAGGGGGGCCGTGCTCTGAGGCACCGCTGGAGTGTCTTCCATTCCCTGTAATTAGTATGTTCGCTGTCACGGCAACAGATCGGGCCCTTTGCAGATAAGCTGGCGGCGGAAGGCGCTGGGTGTGTCCACACCGGTCCGCGTCTATACGCTGCGCCGCCCTCTGTCGGGCGAAAGGGGACGCGGCGGCGGCGAGGCGAGACTTGCAGATCGAGCGTACAGTGTAATTAGCGTGTCAATTACCGCAAGGCGACTGAACTCACGTGCAGTGAATCAATCTGTTTAGTGCAGCTTAGACTGTGGAAAACAGACTGAGCAGTAATAAAAAAACTAACTCCATCCTGTTACTGTTATACCTGTCATTGGCAAATTAAAAATCCCGCGTCCTTTTCGCCGTCCCCGTCCCGCTGGGATGCATTGATGCATTAGCGTGCTGATGCTAACACGGGTCCCGCTGCTGTCGACCTGGCTTCATAATACGACTCAACAATGGAGGAGGTCGGGGGCTCGGGACACATTTTTCTCAATCATTTCAATGACAATTGAACGCGAAAGGCGCTTACGAACATTTCAAACGCACGCCTGCATACGGCCGCCTCCCGGTGTGCCAGACACGGCAGCGGCCTTTCAGCCTCTGCTGACACGGACTTATCGCAGGCGGAGGCGGCAGTTGCTGCTTTTGGCTCGGAGGCGCCTCAGGGCCATTACCTGAGTAATAAAGTTGGCTTTCGATGCTGCCTAATCTGGGCAGAGTGGAGCGATCCGGATCCGGCGGAGGAGAAATCCCGTCGTCTGCACACTTGCTGATACTTTAGTAAAGCGGTTAGGAAGTGTCTCGGCTCTCTCGGCGCCGGTCTCTGCCGCTGCCAAAGTTTCTGGTGGAAGATGCGCCGTTGACCTCCGACGCGTGACCGGCGAAAACATCGGCTTGATGCTCGACATTAGGTGAGCGCGTCTCTTACAATAAAACGTAGTGTGTGAAATGGAAAACAGACGTTTGTAACTTTGTGGGTTTGAATTGAAAACACTTTAAGCGGCTGATATGCAAAGATTTCACCGTGGCGAGATTTCCTGTGAAAGATGATCATGAAGCTAAAAGGAATAACAGAAGAACAAGGCGCCGAGGCTCGGGTCTGAGGTGGAACAGGTCGCTGCCTGAGCAGAGGTGGATCCTGCTGTTTGTGTTGTTGTGTTTGCCAGAAGGATATCGCTGTGTGCTGCTACGCCTGGTTAGAGGCGGCTTCTATCCGTCCTCCACGGATCGGAAAGGTAGCTGATAACCGCTTCGCCGCGAAGGTAGCGAACGACCTTGGAGACAAACGGAGGCCGGATGTCAACGCCATGACTTCAGCTTATAGAAACTCGGAATCGAACTAAACAGCAGAAAGAAGTTGCATCATGGAAAGG